CCCCCCACGGGCATTGGTGCATCCCCCCCACGGGCATTGGTCATCCCCCATGTGCATTGGTGCATCCCCCCCACAGGCATTGGTACATTTACGCCCCCATGGGCATTGGTGCATTCCCCCCCACACGACCATTGGTGAATCCCTCCCCCCCACGGGCATTGGTGCATCCGATGCTGTTCCTTCTTTCCAGTCCTCTCACAGGTCAGACAAGCCTTGGTCTCCAGGAAGACTATTGTCACTTGCCAGGTTTCCATGTAACCGTCAGGACCTGTATTTTTCAGATATTCTCATTTCCCAGGTTGTGCGGGCAAACACAGCAGAGATGCATTGCAGGCAGACTACTGGGAGTAACCTGTGACCTCAGACACATGATCGATCCCTCTGAGCCTTTTTTCCACAGCTAATAAAGGGGTGGAGGTGGAGGGCTGGGAAGGTGGCTCAGTGGTAGAGCGCTTCCCTAGCATGCATGAGGCCCTGGGTTCGATTCCTCAGTACCCCATAAGCAGAAAAAGCCGGAAGTGGTTCTATGGCTCAAGCAGTAGAGCGCTAGCCTTGAGCTGAAGAGCTGAGGGACAGCGCCCTGGCCCAGAGTTCAGGCCCTACGACTGACCAAAACAAATAAAGGGGCAGAAGGAGGAAGGGGGATAACACTTTTCAAGGTTGTGGGAGGAAATGAGATGGTGTAGGGAAAACATCTGGTACACATTAGATATTCCAGTAGTGCACCTCAGTTCTATTATTCTTTGAATTGCTTCTCAGTAAGTGGTGTGGACTGGATGGATTCCACCAGGGGCTTGCCACACAGCTGGCCCTCAGCGTGGGCTTGGAGGCACACATTCTGGCTCTGAAGCAACGGTAATCAAAGAGCTCTTGTCTGTGAGAAGCTCACAACACACCGGGGAGAAACAATCATGGTAAGACCGGAGACATGGTACGGTATGGCTGAGCAAAGAACGCCAAGGAGAGATTCATTCCACTGAGAGGCTTCTTAGGCGAGGCCTCTCTCTCACGGGAGGTAACAGCTGAGATGGATGTCCTGAAGCATCTGTAAGAGTTGATCTGAAGAAACGTGGAAGAAGGCTCAGGTAGAGAAGCCTTGGAAGGAGGGAGACCCACCCCTCTGCCCCCCACCCCAGAAGACTTCCTCCAATCTTTATAACTCTTTGGGCAACAGAACCTGATTTGAAGCAAAGCCTTCTCTGGTTATTGATCCTCGCCTGGTGCACTTGTGCCTGCATTGTACTGCAGAAATATGAAAGAAGGCGCTGACACCAGAGCTGGGCGCGTTGCAGATATACAACTGTACCCCTGGCGTGGCTCATTTTCAATACAGTGCATTTGGTCACCCTTGTCCCTCTAAATTTCTGCACCTCCCCTTACACTCCCAAAGACATATAAACAAACAGAACAAAAAGCAAAGAAAACAAAAATAGAAAAAGAAGAAAAATAAACCTCTTGTTCTCATATCCTGGAGTTTGATATCCCTTTTTATAATATATACTTCATTAAGCAATTCCCCTTAACCATTAGCTTGTAACATAATGCACAGCATTTTGAAAATCAATCACAAACATGTTTTGAGTGCCTAATACAAGCATTAGGAGGGGGACTGCAGGGTAAAGGAGATTGAAGGATGAATAAAACCCACATTTCCTGACTCCCCCTGAGACCAGGGAGCCTTCCCCATTTGCAGGGGCCACGCTTTCCCCCAGAGCAACCAGCAGAGAGGTCTCTCGGGCAGCTCGGGAGTCTTTGAAGGGCCTTTGCTGTGCACACGTTCTTGTTCCTTGGATTGTAAACACAGGTAAACATCTGGCAGCTGCCGATAAAAGAATCATGCTAAAAATCAAGAGCCAATTAAAATGCTTTATCACCTCTCTGATTTCTCTTCCCTTGAGCATCCTGTAGCTGAAATGCCTTGAGCAGGCCAACTCAAAAGAAAACTCTAGCCTGGAGGAGCAACTTGGCAGAAGGCTTGTTATCTGTGGAAGTTGGCTGGAACCATGCCTAATTGGCACTTCCCAGGATCCGGGAATTCCACTCAGACTCACCTTCTGTAAAGAGAATGAGAAGGAGTCTGGGATTCTGAAATCCCGTGTCCTAGTCATACATCATCACCAATTAGTTTATTTGCCATATTTGACAGGTTGGTGGTTTGGGCCTTTGTGCCTCGTATGCACAGGGAATGGTGGCATCTGCCTGTCCTGGAGCTCTCCTGAGATGGCCGGAGAGGCATTTTTGAAAGTGACAGAGCTCTGCCGGAGAAGTCACGGTGACACTCTTACACATTGTCTTGTCACCTGTCCTTTGGAGACTCCATGGATGTCAGCGGGCCATCTCTCTTGAGGTAGGCCCTCAAGCAATGCTGGCTTTGGCCCATGGGTACCTCCTCATACAGACAGAAGACAGCCATACCCCCAGCTTTCAGTTCGGCACAGGTGGCCACATCAGCTTGGTCAGTTTGCTGTAAGTCAGATCTGAAATCATCTGCCTCACGTTAGCTGTGCATCTGTGAGCACACCACTTTTAGCCTCCGTTTCCTCTCCTCTAAAAGAAGGGTGATAATTATTAGAACTACTTCAAAAGACTACTGGGAGGACTAATCAGGGATGAGTGTGAGTGTGTTCTATGAGTAGTAAAGCACTGCACACACGTTAGCTATTGATATTTCTGACTCTCCTAGATCCACAAAGCACAACAATTCTACAACGAAAATACATAAAAAAAAAGACAAGTGTCTCCCAGTGTCAAACATGGAAGAGATGTCAGGCTTGAGTGAGCGGGTTCCTCCAGCCTTAGTCCTACCTGCTAAAATAAAGGCAACAAGCACTTCAGCTCACGGCTTCCACCTTCCTGAGTGACCTTGAACATGCCACTTCGCTCTTCTCTAGAGACTTTTCTTTCCTAGCCTGGAGCTGACACTCGGGCGATCTCTCAGGTCTGCTGCTGTGATATTCTCTGGGCAGAGACTCACAAGGGGGAAAATCAAGCACCTGATGTCACCAAGTTTAGTCAGGGAATCCAGGCAGGGGTGAGGCTGGTGAGCAGAATGCTGCACGCTGGTGGATGGTTTTAGAGAGAAAGGAGTGCAGGAGACATGAATTCACAGCTTGCTCTGATTTTAAGGGAATCAGAAATGATCTCCTTGCCAAGCCTCTAGTATAGCGAAATCAAAACTAAGTCCAATTCCATATTGACCCTATACCAGAGACTGCCGCGTATCATTTCATTTAATTCCCCAACAAGGGACGTGTTTTAAATCCCTTCCTCCCCCCTCCCCTTTTTTTTTTAACCAATGAAGCAATTTAGACTGTAAGAGGTTACACCAGTATTGGATATTAGAACTGAAATATTGCCAAGTTGGACGCAGGACTGGCTGGCAGCAAAGCCCAGGAGATTCTCCATTAGGATACACTGACAGGCCCCAAGGAAGGGCCCCAATCCCTCAGCAGCTTGCTTACTAACCACGTTTATTTGAAGGTATAGAAGAACTACACGTCTCCTTGGAGTCTCCTTGTAAGCATTCCTGTGTTGTCTCCCCTTAACCCAGAGTCCTGCAGACACAGGAGGCTGGGATTCTATGTAACGCCCAGGCATTAGAGAGCAAGGATTCTATAGATTCTTACCCACAAGCAAGCTAGCTTCAAGCAAGAAGAAACCTGGCTGAGGAGACACCCCACCCCCAACGCCAGCATACCATGCTCCTATTTTCACCCAGCAAGGACCACGACTCCCTACAGAGCAGCTCCAGCCTCTTGCAACATGCTGGTGTGTTGGCTGTTACCATGGTGATGGAGGAGCATCTCTGTCACGCACACATGAGCAGCGCAGAGTGGGTTTCCCCTGCCTGAGAAACTCAGAGGGTTTATCTGCAGTTGTTTTCCAGCAGCATCCTCACACGGTGTTGAGGATGAGTGAAAAAGCGTTCCTTCTGCTTAGTATTCAAGTGACACTGGAGGCAGGACTGAAGTGTATATACTGAGGCTGTGCAGAAGTGACCCCATCTCTACTGCTAGTACAGCTCCTATTTGATTTGACGTGGCTAGAAAAGGTACTTAACAAGGTCCCAGAGAATGTGCTGTTGTGTCTACAGAGTCAGTGGGTAGCTCCCCCCACACCCCAGCTTCCCAGTTCTTCCTAGCCATGACAAGATAGTGGATCAAGTAGACCTTTAGAGTCAGACCCGTGTGGGTTTATCCCCTGCTTCAACCCCTTCTGGCAAAGCAACATCATTCCGTTTCTTTAATGCAACTCTATTTATTTATCTTAAAGTGGGATTCATTGTTCTTTGCAGAGTTGCTGAAGAAAATTAAATGAGATTATATATAAATGGCTTCCAGTCGCAAATCTAGCATATGGTGGAAACATATTTCTGATAGCAGTTATTTTGAAGAAAGTAACTTAATGAAACCATATGTTCTGACTTGGAGACAGACAATGTTTGAGTTCCTGGTTCATCGCTTAATCGTCCGATAGCTATGTAATATTCTAGAATAGATTTTCTTTTGAGTCTTCATAAGAGAAGAGGTTGTGATTGCAATCTATGAGGTTCTGTGTGCACATTCAGTTTTGGAGGTGTGATTGTAATAACTCCAGTAGGAGTCTGAAGACTACTAAGGGCAGCAGCAGCAGCAGCATCTCATTGGTGGATGGCATGTCAGCCTAATTGCCACCTTTCCTGTGTGTCATCTGTGTGCGGAGGTCTGTGACAGATGCTATACATCCACTTCTCATTTAATCTGGCAGCAGCCTTTAGGAGGTAGGAATCGGTTCTGCAAAAACCGAAGAATGTGGGCAACCTATTAGTAAGTTGTAAAATAAAAATGAACAAACGCTAGCTGTGCCCTTACTGTTATCTGTACCTGAGAAGAAATGTTCCTTTACCGTCGACCCATGGAGCCACATTGTACAAGTTCCTACACAGCCAGGGGGCAGAAATGAACGCAGTTGGCCTCATTTCTTCCCTCGACTACAGCCAGCTTTGGGGATCTGAGAACACAAAGTTGTCATCCAAAGATGCACACTTGGCCCTGGTCTTTATAACGAGGGTCTGCCTGAAAGCCCATCTGTGTTTCCTCTCGTCCTTCCCCTTTACCCTGTGCACCAGCAAGATGGAGGTTTAGTTAAAGATTCCTTCCTCGCTGGCTTGCCTGTCCCCTCTGCGCCTGATCAAAAGTGACTCGCTTTTCCTATCTCCCGGTTTTCTCCTCTCCCAACACTGCCAGTGTCAAGAAAATGTCTTTCCTCCTCTCCAAAATAGCATCTGGTCCATTCGAAGCAGGCCGCAGCAGGCTGTCTGCCAACACCCTCATCTCTTGGCGGATAGAAGGCATTCCCCATCCAATTATTTAAAAGTCTCCTTGCTGATGATTCAGCCAACCCCTCCGTCTGCAGCTAGACGTGGGCCACCTAAGGTCACCTTGAACAGATGCATAGTCAAGAAAGCTATGTACTTCTCTTGAATTCTTGCCTCCGGTCTGCTAGGTAGAAATCTCATTCTCATTAAACTCATGCAAAAAACAGATGCTCAGAAAAGGAAAGAGCTTTTCCCAAGGCCACACAGCTGTCATAGAAACGCTGAGACACAGATAGTCACTTTGGGAGGAAGTGTTGAATCCATCCCTGGTGCTATCTCTGAGGTGACTCCAAGCCCTCGCCCAGCCTGTTCTGCCCGCCCTGTCTGAATCACGGGACAGCGGGACTTCCCCGGGCTTTGTGGCCGGCAGTATTCCTGGAGTCCTGACCGCGTCATCTGTAGCTCTATGATCTCAGCATGTTTTTCCTCCTTGAAGCAGAGCTGCCTTCCTCTACGTTGACAGGAGAGTTCACACGCAGAGGGCCGGGCGTGGTGCCTGGTAGCAGGTGCTCCCAACGACTGCTCAGACACCGGCGGCGTCTCTAGGAAGCCCTCCCGGATTGCGCCTCCCTCCTCCGAGCCCTGACATTTCATTCATTCATTCATTCATTCATTCATTGTCTTCTGTCTTCACTCAACCAATACGTAAAACAATAAAGACCTCAGCCCTAGAACTCAGCACATGATACCATGGTTGTTGTGTCAGGTTCTGATTCCCCATTTGAGCAAGGTCTCGCGGAGGGCAGATTTTGTCTGAGTCATCTCAGAATCTTGAATGCCCAGCGCTGGGTATGGCAAGAGGAGAAGAGGAAAAGAATAGGCAAAAATGAAAAGGAAAGACAAGTGGAGGAGAAAACAAAACTCAGGGCAGTTTAGGAAATCCTGCTTCAAAAACACAGCCTGGTCCTTCTCCACAGCCTCTGCAGAGCCCTCCTGCCCACCCTGCAATGACAGCCCAGGCAGGAGGTCTCAGATGAGCCCAGGGTCCAGAGTGCAGACAGGCCAGGCCCAGCTGCAGAAAGGAAATTTCCGTCTGTGTAGCCAATGGGGACAGACTGCAGCCCCAAGCCTGGCAACAGTGTGTGCGTGCGGAGACCAAGCTCCACCCACCTCCAGCAGCTGCTACTGCTGCTGTGGCCCCAGCAACAGACCAGCCTGGCGGGGGCTGGAGGCCGCTACAGCCTCCACTGCTGGAGGCAGGCGGCTGGCCAAGGTGGGAGGCTGAGCCCCCGAGCTCCACCAAGCCAGAGCTGGAGCCCCCAGCCTTGAGCAAAAGTGCCAAGGCTGAGGAAGAGAGCTTCTTGCTCTTGACTCCCCAGACAGTGCTCCAACTCACCATCCAGTCTCCTGAGGGATCTGAAATGATTTCAGGCGCGTTTCACCATCCTCCCTGTATAAAGCATTCATGACTTTCCATGTGATCTTTTTAACTCATGGTCTTCTGGCCTTCCTTGAGCTGCTCCTGTATATGTGTGTGGCGGGAGGGGGGGCTGGAGGGGGAGGTCACTAGGTACTGGGGCTTGAACTCAGGGCCTTGTGCTCTCCCTCAGTAGTTTTGCTCACAGCTGGCGCTCTGTCCCTTGAACTGCTCCTCTAGCTCTGGCTCCTTTGGCTGGCTAATTGGAGTCGAGTCTCACAGACCTGCCCGCCCACTTCCACCACGCTTCAACCAGATTCTTCCTCCTGTTCCCTATGCAAGACATGCTCTGGCACTCATGCCACTCCTCATCTTCTTGGAATGGGCCCTGTGCATCCTCCCCGAAGCCGTCCTTCAGGTGCAGACAGAGTGCTTACAGCTCCACGCCTGGAGGCCGAGGCGCTGCTGGGGACATGGACCAGCCAGACAGGGAAGGGAGGGAGTGATAGTAATCAAGTGTCCACTTGGGATAACTGGGGCTCCAACCTCTACCCAGGACGCTGGCAAACACCATACAACACATTTTAGAGATGATTGACAAGCAGGATGAGAATGGTAGCCATGTGTTCACCAAATCCTCTGTGAGATGCTCCAGGATGGCCCCGGCAGTGGTAACTCCTCCTCGGCTGCCCCCGCCGGA